AGGCTCTATTCAGCTGAAAAGAGAAATACATACATGATGCCATGCTCTGTGTGAATTTTTTATTTTGCGGTCTAATTGACTTCACGCGAAATATTGATTTCCAGAGGCCATCGTTCTTCAGATATTGTAAAGAATATGAAAATGATTATTCAGGAAGCCGATAGATGATTTTTCCTGGAGGATTGATGCCATTCATACACGTGGCAGGGCTTATGGCTCGAGCATATCCGTAGCGCAAGGAAGTAGCGGTGTACGTGGCGAGCGTAAGCAATAGAGACGGGGAGAGGGAGTGGGCGATGGGAGTTTGGCGACGTTGGCTGCCGAGTTGCGAATATATCATGAGGATGGCTAGCGCTTCGTCGTGACAAATCGACCAGATAAAAGTCACTTTAAGTCGACGGGACTCGAGGGAGGCATTCATGCTCCCACGGCCTGTTGGATGATTCTGGTAAGGGAGAATGATTACCTCTCACATTGTCCTCCCGGGTATATACGTCCTCGTCTATGCCTTCCATACAGGGCTACCAGATTCTTCCGTTCCCGGCTGCTGCTGTGGAAGGCCAAGGGAGCCAGCCAGCCTCCAACGAACGAGTCGAGACTCGAGAACGAGTTTCTAGAGATTTCACCTCAAACTGAGTTTCTGAGTTTTCACCTCAAACTAGAAATGGTCTTATGATCCCTTCATAGATATTCTGTTGGGAAGGAAGAAGGAAGGCAGAGAGAGAGAGAAGTAGGCCAAAGTTGTCGTAATTGGGGTCTCCCATGTTTCATAAAGCAGCTGCTGAGCAAGAGGATTGACTCATGAGCTCGAGGCCAGACACCATAAGAACTCTATCTATCCATCGATTCATCCATGTCATGTACCTGCTTGGAATTTCTAGTTTCAGGTACTTTCTTTCTGGTTCGTGGTTGGCTCTGGGCTGGCAGATCGTGGCTGACCAGTTCCGTCCAGCAGTAGCGGCACTGGGGAAAGTCACCTGATGAACAGACTGATATCCGAGTGCTATGCAAGTCTCATATTTTCGTACGATTCCGCCTACTCTCCTCTCTCTATACATCTCTCTCCTACTTCCCTTCTCTTGAGGGCAGGTGAGCTTGATGCTCAAGGAGAAGTGCACCGAAAGGTTCTCGGTGTAACTGCAAAATGTTTAGTTCTGCTCGAATTCTAACCAGATCGGTCCCAGATAGTGATAGCATCGGTCAGTCGTTACGAAGCTTCTCTTCACTTCGAACCACATGCACCATGTGTGTGTGAGAGACAGAGAGAGAGAGGGTTAACATTTGTTAATTTTGGAGAATCTACTGCCCGCACTGTGTGGAAGAATAGGAGGTTGATGAGGTTGAGGAGGGGTAATATACTCACCATGCATAACCTGAACTAACAATCCGAGATTTCATTCTATCGAGACGAGATTTTGTTGTTAAACTCGATTTTCTTATCCCTTTCACAAGTACTCTTGTTCCTAATGCGCCAGGAAGATTGTTATGGTTGGAACAGTGTTCTCATGTCTTTAATGTCCGAACTCTCCATGTGCCCTAGTCTCTTTGCTTGTAAAATTATTCACCTCCTACTGTATCCACTTTAGGTGCTCCAGAGGTGTAGCATGTACAGCAAAAGAGTGGATGAAGCTCATGCATCATGTCCAACCTCGAGCCTTGATTGAGCCACTGGACTATCTGCCTGACATCTATCCACCTACAGTCTCGTTTTACTTACGTGTTGCGCTTTCCAATGAGTACGACCTCGGTTGCAACTGGCCGACGAGGACGACGACTGTGACTCTATTCAAGGCACACGGAAGGCCCCGCGACATTCAGAATTGTGTGGAACTGAGCCATATCTGGTGGCCATATTTGATGCGCGGCCTTTCATCGCTCAGCAAGGTTAAGTGGTCCGATGGAGTAACCTCTTGTGAAGCTTTGCAAGTTCATGAGCGCCACCAGTTAAGGTAGGGATGAACGAGGAATACGACACCGAGGTGATTCGGAACAAGTTCTCGTTGGAAGGCCATGAATGATCCCATGGAGAATACGATTGGGATTAAGGAATGTTCTCGTTGCACATAAAGACGGAGAAAAGCGTCAACCAAACTCTTGTGACAGCGACCATTTATGCCTGGACGTGAAAGACATTTTTGACCTGACCATAAGGAGAGCATGTTCACACGAGTTTCGGGAACCAGGTCTAATTTCTTACTTTATTCAGAGCGACAAAAAGCGAGGGAATGAGGGTGATCTGACTCGGGCGGCAAGAATGTACGTTCCAACGCCCTCCAACAGTAGAAATCATACCGAGATCCTGCTCATCCTCGTTGAGAAAAACAAAAATGTCGGTCGGGTCCGCTCAACAAGAAGTTTTTAAGGCATGGCACCAGCTTTGTCCTTCACTCCAGCTGACATAGCTTCTCTTTCTGGTTTCCTCCATGCACCGAATGCCTTTTATATGCATCACACACTCGCGGGCCACTTTGTTCTGCGCTCACGTTCCGTGGGTGATTCTGGATCTCGAGTGCCGCTTCAGCTCTTCTCTCTGTCGAGTTCGAGTCAACCATGAGGCGTTTCCAAATCCTCCGATTAATCCGATCCTGTTGCTTGTCCTTATCTGCAAATCATCCGGTATCGGACGGTAGCATGCTTGTTCGTTGAAGAAGTCAACCGAGCGGTCTGAGCCTACACTTCGAGAACAACCTTTACGGTCATTCCACAGCTCAATGCTCTCCAGCGCCTTCTAGGTCCGCAGCGTTCTCACCTTTTACTCACGAGGCTTTTCTCCGGGCATTCTAAGCAGTCTCATAGATCCATGACCGAACTGGTTGGCCGACCTTCTCGGAGCCCATTGAGTCAATACGGAGGGTGAAAAGATGGAACTCATGCCCGCCATCCCAAGCTCTCGCAGCCAGCATCACCATCTCGTTGCGTGGTCGCCGTGGATTCAGTAGACCCACCCACTCCGGTCTTCATTAGTCATGATTTTGAGGAAGGTTTGTATCACAGAGATATTCGAGTTTGAAGTAGTGAGGTAAGCAATCATTCACAACCGGGAGAATTTTATGTTTATATACTGCTGATTCTTCTCCCATGCTTGCACAAGACACCGGATTTCCTTCGGCAATGGAACGTGCGAGACCACGCGCATTCAACCTCATACGAGCGAAATGTTCTAATCTATCAACTGGTACATTACAATTTTCGCTTGCGTGCGTGATTGGGAACGATAAAAGGCACTGTAAGGCCAGGTAATTGTAATTCACTCCCACTCTGTTCCTCTGCTGAGTCTGAGACAAGAAGATCAGATCTCACGACGGAGTTGTTGGACTGGTTCTTTGCCTGCCCTGCCTCCCTTACCTCGCTATCGCTGCCAAGGACTTGCGTTCCGGTGCCCGTCCTCTGACCAGAAACAAGACCAATCCAAGCCAAATCAGACGAGACGGACGCCCAACGAAGACCAGAGGGAACGATCACCGTCTGCCCTCGCACCGTACCTGAGAGAGAGAATACAGCACGCGGAAGAACTCTGATCCCGGGACAGCAGCCCAGGAGTTTAATGAACATGAATCGAAGGGATCATGAAATTGCATGTGGACAGCGATCGGCCGGATGTGACAAGGGAAACAATGCGAATGTCGTGCACGGATTTTTCATGATCCACAGCCTCGGAGCTGGGGCCCCTGGAAATGACTCGAATCCGGAGGCGCCTTCGAGGGAGGCCGCATTCTTCTCTGGCCCGGGCTGGACTGGGGTGGCCCGGGGTGGCCATGGCTTCTGGGTATAGAAGGGTGGGGGCTCGCACAGTACGAATCTATGCCAGAATTTGCCCAGATGGGGTTGCATGTGGACATCGTTCGGGTCTAGGCAGCTACGAAAAGCCACAAACGTCTGTACGTGTGCAACGGAGCACAAGGCAGAATGTTCCAGCTTGCATGTGAGTCGTAGAATAGGGGCCGCGAGAAAATAATTGTCTTCGGGACACAAGACGTCGCCCTGTAGGACTCTGCTCGGACCGAGCGAATTCTGGCCACAAACGTCCTCGCGCGCCCCTGGTTCTGGTACGAGGCAGAGTGCGGAGCTCTTTCGGTCGTACTCCCCCATCCTCTCCCTCTCCCTCCCCCTGCTGCTCGACGGTACAGTAAAGGGATCTATCTGTTCACGAGCGGAGCGGACAGGCCCCAGCCCCAGCCCCAGCTGCAGCAGGAGCGAACCGGACGGGACCCGGACCACCGTGCCATCGGATGGCGATGCCTGGCGGCTCCGCCTGGCTGGCTTTCTGGCTGCGTGCGCTGCTGGGAATGGCGTCACAAACCGAGTGAAGGAAATCTTGAATTGACTGCGTCGATTTCAGATTGACACTGACCTTCCGAGACCAGGAGGACCGGGATTTACAGCCATGGAAAGCGGAAGATACCTTCGTGCTTACGTAAAACATATCCACACGCGGGGACAGGAAAGAAACTAAGAAAGAAAGAAAGAAAGATAGAGAGAGAGAGAAGAGAAGAAAAGAAAAGAAAAGAAAAGAAGGAAAGAAGAAAAAAGAAAAGGAAACCGGTGGAGGAGGGAGGGAGGGAGGGGAGGGGGCAAGCAGTTGGAGAAATTACAACGATCACTTTGACGTGGATCTGCATCGATTGACGAACAGCTTTCGTGATGAAAATGAAGAGGATAGAAAGCGAGCGAATCGATGGCATTTCGCCTTCGAAACATTTGGGACTCGTGATGATTCCGACTGTGGTCAGGCCGCCGTAGTCATTTCTCTCTGTCTCTCTGTCTCTCTCTCTTGGGCGAGAGAGTGGCAAGACGAAGGCAGACTCAGCTCAGTTCGAGCTCACCTGCGGTTGGTGGCTGGACAGGTCAGGTGATGGATCTCAATCGGGTGCCGATGATTCGGGTCATATCTGAGTATGTTTGTTTTACCGAGATCAATCCGCAGGAGGTCAATTAGCAGTTCGGAATGAGACCGGTCCACAACGAGCCGAGAACGTGGGATGTCTGTCTGCGAGGGGGAGTGAAAATATGAAAATATGAAGATACGAAAATACGAAATTATGACAGCGATCTGAGGGAAAGGGAAAGCCAGTAAACCGGTTATAATGAATTCGCTTTTCTTTCCTCCCTCCCTCCAATTTCTTGGCTCGATCGACGGATGGTTTCGTGGCTCTGATGCGCCCGGAGAAAAGATTCAGTTCTGGAAAGTTCAGCTAAAGCTTACGTCTGCGGCTGGGCGGGGCGGGGCTGGAGAGCCGGTGTTCGGAACCTGGCAAAACGGCCCAGGCAGTCGGTGCTGCAACGGGTGCAGGTCTACCTACATGCGCCTCTCGCCTCGCTCGCTCCACTTTTCCCGAGCGTGCGTGCGTGCCCCTGTCCTTGTGTACTCGATCCCCAAATCTTCTTAAGGTTCTCGCCCCTTGATAGCTGCTCAGCAATCTCTTCGCTCCGAGTGATTGGCCTCCGAGCCCTCCTCCTCCTCCTCATCATCATCAGCGCCTCCTCGCCTACTCTCGAAGCTCGCCCTCCCTAATTCCTCGTCTCCTCCAGTTCCAGTTGCATCTCCAGTGCATCCATCTATCTATCTCCCCGGCCTTCCAGCTGCCTGAAGCACCTGAAGGCTCGGACACCACCATTGCATACCCGTCAGCTCGTAACCTCGATTTCTCTGACACGGCGGCGTCTAATCACGATGTCATCAGTGACTGATCATCGAGCTTGTACCAGAGCTGCTGCTGTTGCTGCTGCTGCTGCTTCTAGTCTGAGCTAGAGAGATAGGCAGACCGAGCGACTGACTGACTGACTGACCACCGACTGGCCACCGACTGACCGACCGGGTGACCTGTTCGCCCGCCCCCACACTTTCGTGCCTGGCTGCCTGCCTGGGGCCCGAACCATTAAATATCTCCGGCCACAGAGAGTGGACGCCGGTTTGTGTCACGAGCTCGAAGTGTGTGGTTTCTCCGAGAGAGAGCTTCTGTGAAAGGCAGCTCGTATCATTCGAATTCAGAGCTCTGCAGCTCGCGCACCGAATTCCGTCTCGGTGCCTCGGTCTGAGAGGCTCGGTGGCTGGCGCTCATCGATTCGGGTGCAGCAGGATCACGAAGTGAGAGGCGAGGGGGATTTGCGTCGTGAATTGGTGGCTTGACGATGGCAGTGCTGCTTCTGGTGGTGGTGCAGCGATGAGCGAAATCAGTGTGGCTGCGATTCTGTCCTGCAACTGCGACGCCTCTGTGCTAGGCTAGGAGATAGAGGGGCGGGCCGACATAGATAGACAGATAGAAGGAGGATCTGACAAGAGCGCCTGGCACTTCGCCGTGTCTCGGGACTCTGAACGTGGTCTTTCGTGTCTTGGCATATGATGACCTTCGCAGAATCGTTGTTTCAGAAGATTCCCACGATTTACTACCAGCTGTTCTACGATGAGTGCGAGCCCGTGTGGATCATAAATTCCGAAGAGGTGCAGCTCGTCGAGAATGTGCCGCAGTACTATCCTCCCCTCCCCGATCCCCCCAAGCCCCCTCCGCCTCCTCCCAAGCCCGAGCCTCCTGCGGTATACATCTTCTCCTCTCCTCATCCTCATCCTCCTCATCTCCTTCATTCCTGTCTGATCCGTCCTCCCTTCGCAACAAGTCGTAGCTCCAATCGATAGACAGTCGAGTACTTTCTAATTCCGATGGTGATCGAATTCGATTTCCTTATGACGTTTTATGATCGTGGTGTTGTGCAGCCTACTGTCGTCAGGGTGCCAATGTGCTGTGACGCCTGCGAAGATCGAGTCTATTCCACCTTCAAGTCCATCAAAGGTACACACTCACACACATGCATTCTCTCTCTCTCTCTCTCTGAGAATCCGAGACTCGGATCGTTCGTTCGGGTTTTTCCATTTGAGCGAATGAGGGGACGGAGGATCTGGTTACGAGAGTCAGCACGGAAGGATTATGGGACCACGTAAATTCATGAAGGAATGATAGGAAGTGGTGTGTTTGTCTTACGTGGCACGGAGCGCGCGCCTCTATGCTGCTTCTGCTGCCACGACAGCCAATTGGACCCTCAGATTGCAGAGCGAGATTTGACGACCGGCCTTGAAACTTTCTCTGTCTTTGCAGGGGTTGAGAAAATAAACTGCGACTGGACGGAGCAGAAGGTGGTGGTCACTGGACCCGTGCCGCAGGAGGAGGTGCTTGCAGCGTGCCGCAAGATGTTCAAGCACTCCGAACCGTGGAAGTGATCTCCCACCGAGAGAGCGGCCTCCCTCCGCTCGAACCAGCTGATGCGCCTCAACATTGACCTCCGAACCTGTGCTTAGTTCCACCCCCCCATTCCCCCATTCACCCATCATCGGGAGGAACATAGCTGTATATTAATAATCCGTCTATCCGTCCGTCCGGCCGTCCATGCGTGCGACACCGCGACTTCGATTGTAAGTCCGTGCGTGCGTGCGTGCGGGACGGAGCTCGACGAGACGCAGGTTTGTTCTGGTTTCCGTGGACAAGCTCCTTGTACATTGTTGGCCTGCAGTCTCGACTCAGCTTGAGCTCCCCGCATTTATCAGCGAGAGCCAATGCGAGGCTGCTAGCACCGACCGACCGACTCACTCGTGTAGAGCGACTACTCTTGATTCGACTGTTGTCTCATCGACTACTAAGTTCTCACTTACTTAGCTCTGTCACCGAACGACTGTGTGCCATCGACATGTATATTGTGAATAAAGATTTGTCGAGTGTTTGTAACTTTGCGCCCAGTTCCGAAATGTGTGTTTGAGTGAGTGTGTGTGTTTGTTCAGTCCAAGGTCGCCGGAGTTCTGTGGGCCCGCCTGTGGCCGGCTGTGTCTGACAGCCGTCATGAATTTTACTCGGTTTGCTCAATCGAGGTGCTGTTGACAGTTGAGAGCGGGATTCTCGAGCGCTGCTGGCTGGTATTAATAGAATGCTCTCGGACATCTGAACTTGAGCCCTGAGCCTCAAGGTGAGAGAGAACCCGAGAGAGAGAGAGAGAGACCTCGACTTCGACCCCGAATCCGAATCCTCAAGCGGGCACGGAAAGAAAGGCTTACCAAGCTCTCCCTGTGCCGCGATGAGCTCGTTTCGTTTCCGTCCTCCGCAGCACGTAGACCTCTGACGGCACCGAAGGCTTCGAGCCCGATGCCTGTGCTTGATGAACACTACGAGCATTGGCACGGAAGCTTTCGAGTACGCTTCGAGGCCGGCCGGGGAGGTCATTGCAGGCGCGTGCCATGTCGGATGCACTCAGTCCGGCGCCATCATTGTCGTGTCGTCGCTTCACGGGCGCCAGCGCCCTTTTCTCTTTCGAGTTGTGAGAGCACGCTGAGACGCTGCGACCACGTGACGGAATTGCGGGGAGAGGAGAGGAGGGTAGATCGGACGCCTGCGTGCTGCCGAGCGGGCACTGTCGAGAATGATCGTTGCCCCACCAGGGACTGCAACCGCCGACGAGCCGTGGGACGACCCCACGTTGCTTTTGTGTTGGGCAATAAGGGAAGCGTGCATGGGACCGGAACCACGTTGCGCTTTAAGTGTCGCTGCTAGAACTCAGATGTCGTGGAGTTGGTTGCGGAGGTTTGATTGACTGTGGTGCCATCGGACTCGAGTGCACTGAACTTTTCCAGGCTGTGAGCGCAATTTCTCGCAGACGCGCGCCTGATTTGTGGTTGCATGCGTTCCGCTTCAGCATCTGAACAAGCTTCGGTGCTTTCCCTCCCACCTTGAATTGCTGGAGGTTGAACTAATTACGCATTACGATGTCGAATTAAGGCTTATGAGTTCATGTCCACACTCGTTCATAGCGGAGCTAGGTTTCTGTGAAGCCATGGGCAGGCATGGATGGATGTGAGGTGGTTTTGTTGTGGCAAAAGTTGATGAAGTTAGCTGTTGGCACCTCTCACGTGCCTTGCCTCTTCGTTTCCGATGTACATCGGATCTTCGGCAGGACTGCAGTTGTGGGCTTTCAGATTGCGTGGACGGAGGCAATCTGCCACACGAAGGGTTTGGACGAGATTCAGTCTAGATTTGGTGCGAGGAAGTTTAGTTACGTAGTTACTTGTACAAGATATTCGTGATTCACTTGTTCCAGTACGATAGGACCCCCTCTCCGTCCTTTGACAATGTCTACGGACACCAAGTGAGGAAGAAAGCAGTTTGACCGGCCATTCTGTTTCTGCGAGAAGTAGGAACACTCCGATTTACGAAAACGCTACTCATTGCTTTCGAGCTGCAGTTTTCAGTTCTGGATTACTTCCGACAGGACAGCGTTTATGAAAAATGGAACGAAAGTAACAGTGTTCAGTATCTGAGTTGCGCCAACAAAACTGACATCAACTTTCTCCACTGTGAAGCTGAAGTTTCATGCCAGCATGCACTTCTTCGAACATACCTGGTTCTTTTAGGCTGTCGCTCAAAAGCATGATCAGCTTCTCTCTTACGGTCACATGATCCTCACAATCCGAGCAGTTTACTCGGGAATGAATCCAACACCTTCCACAAACAGAAAACGGTAGACATTGCTACTTCAGGAGTTCAGGTCGAGGGATATGTATATACACAGATCACCAACTTCTGCTTCTCAAGATGCAGGCGAGAAAGCAGGTTCTCAAACAAAAAAGAAGAATTAATGTACAGACTGTTCATTACCGAGGTGAACGCTCGCAAATGAGCTATATATCTCAGTGAACACATTCCAGGAAACACCTCCTTAGTCGGATATCTTTTCTGATTTGAAAAGTTTCTACTGTAACACATTGAGATTTGGTTCGATAACATCTAGTTGGTAATAATACAAAATTTCTGACTTGAGACGTTTTGTCGACAGGCAGAATCGTTCCCAGTCCAGATTCTACCAACAATGTAGATTATATGCACATCGTACAATCCGAGAACCTTGTACTTTAGTCTACGAGACTCGGGAAAAGAGAATAGACCCCGTGGTTGTGGTGATCAATCTTGATCAGTCTGGACAGGATTTGGCTCTGACCTATCACGGGTGGCGTTTTTCAGAATCACGGTCGGATTTTTCCTCAACAATCGAGCCTTCTGCTCTTGCACCAGCTGTTCGGCAAACCAGTCCAGCCGCTCCATGTTGCTCACAGATAGGGGCCTCCGACCCCCAAAAGGTAAATGCTCCATGCTCTTCTGTTTAAGCAGCTCGTCCGCCAACTTCATCAAGCGCTTTACATTCCCCTGACTACCATCATCCATTTCTGTTAAGGCTCTGTCCGGTAGTCCTGACACCTGCCACAAGAGACAACACAGCTTTGAACAACTGGGCAGTTTCTTACTCTACAACATCCAGCACGCAACTCTAGCTTCTGGCATGGTTTACGGAAGCAGGACACACAGTCATGCACAGCTATACGTGTCTCACAATAAAATCCTCCATGATGATCACGATTCATGAACCTCGCCCCCGTGAGGCCATGAGAGAGATTCACGAATCCAAGCCGCGTCTAATTACCAAGTTGCAATGGACAGCATGACGAGGCATGAGCTCAAACTTGGTAAGGCATGCCACAGAATCACTGCTCTGAAGACTTTCATGACATCCTACCCTCTTTCAGAAGAAATTATCAGCACAAGACCTCTCAGTGTGCATAACAGAACATAGTCTAGAAGCTCTACAATACCTATTCAAGTACATTCGTACGACACGTCTAAGGCGCTCTTATACAACACAACTCACTCGCTTGTGCGATTTAGATAAAAGGTGGAAAAATATTTTGTCAGAATTTCAGCACGTATGTCAAAGAGAAGCACATTGAACGACAAGTCGAGGAAAGGTATGGTACCTGAACACGAACGTAGTTCTTACGAAAGGTATCACCAAATGACATGCTGATAGTGTGATCGACCATATCGGAGATACCATCCAGGATTATCTTAACAATGGGTTTCGCCCATTGGAACGCGCCCCAGTGTCGAACTTTTTTATAGCCATACGTTTGGTCAAACTGGCCTGTGCCTAATGACAAAACCAGCAGGTCGCTCATCCCTCGTACAGAAGGAAACTCAAGCTTATTGTGCAGGACGTGAGTGATCGCAGCTGCGGTCGGATTGTTCATCACAATGCCCCCATCGATGGCTGTACACGTGGTCTTACCGTCTATAGATGTCATGTTAGCGGGTTTGAAAAACGACGGAACCGCAGAGGTTGCACGACAAATCTCCCAAAGAGAAAAATCCCAAGCCTCGCAATCCAGAGCATCAGCTCTTGAGAACAGAAACGGACCGGCACTCTGAAGGTCGTAACAAGGGATGAGTACGGGTTTCAGCGTATCTCTCAGAGTTAGTGCTCGGCCATCCCTGATGAGATACTGCTTCAAAATCCCTTCAAGGTACTTCGTGGAGTACCTCGGAGTCATAATACCCCTCAACTTTTTCCAAGCTCGCTGGGTTTTGGGAATTTTGAAAATTTGCTCCCCTTTCTCGGCAATCAGTCTCCAGCTTTCCTCGCCGCTAAACAGAGGGGACCCCGTGCCATCATTGGTAAAAAGCATCGTGGTAAGTATACCACCTACGCTCGTGCCGGCAGCAACGTCAAAATAGTCTGCAATTTTGGCATTCGGATTTCCGCTCCTCGCTTTCAAAGCTGCCTCGAGGTAGGCCAAAATTCGTCCGGGGATGATACCCCTCATGCCCCCGCCATCAATACTCAGTATGCAAACCTTCCCGGAGTCGGTGATTGTAGGCAGTTCATCATTCTCAATTGGCCCATTGATGCCCACATCTTCTCCCGAACCGTCCCAAGCAACTCCGGGCATGGTTGCAGTGGTTTGACTGGATTTATCCACTTTCCGCAATGTTTTACCGCGCTCATCTGCTTACCATTCGACCGGAGTACGTGCGCAATTCAGCTCATAAAAGAGCTCCGACAATGACGGCGATTCCAATTGCGGACTCTTCAAGCTTCAATCCATACTACCATGAATTTCTCTACACCTCTTAACAATCACCGCCAGAAGAACCCGACTTTCGAATGCCTTCGAGCTCCATTCATAAAGCGCATGCTCTGATTCAAGAAAAAGTTTCGAAGATAACGCTGAGGAGGCAGACCACCACCTTCCACGAGAACAAAGAACCCAGCTCAGCCCCGCAGAATGCGACTATGAAACGTTCGGCTCACGCCCGGCTTCTACCTCGTACAGAAGGAGCCCACAAGGCAACAAGCTACATGGAGCCCAAAAGGCTCGGAAAAGATCAGGAATGTCAAGCGAATTCGGAAAAGAGTGAGACTTTCGCAGGTCGTGCCGACAACGAAGAAGGTTCATTCTGGAAGGCACTCAGAGCCCATGATATTCCGTGTAGACCCCAACGACCTTCGTCTCCGAACACGACTCCTCCCGTCCGGCACCACCTGGTCTTCCGAATTATCCCCCAGAACAAGCGCGCAAATCTTCCTCGTCGGTCTCGGCGCACCCGCGCACGACAACTACCGCTTGGCAAAATCTCTCACCGCGACGACGCCACCACTCGACAGCAATTTTCCCGAAACAATCAATCACCCCCGCCTGCCGCAGCGTATACAATTGCGCAACAAAATCACCCCTCGATTACCGAATTCGGTCACCTGCCTACTACGACGAAGACGACGACGACAGCCTTCTGGCCCCATCACGTCACCGATGGAGATTCTGCGATTGAGGTCCGAGGTTTAAGACCCCGGGACGACGGCCAAGCTCCTGCGGAAGCGACAAAGCTCGCCCCGTCCATGAAAGCGGGCCGCCGGGTAAGCAAAATTCGCCCAAATCCGACGTCGCTCGATCCGAGACCCTTGAATCGCTTCCCCAGAGGCGGAGACCGCGCGGGGCCCAGACCGAGCAGCGGCGGGCCGACGAGCGACGACGAGCAGCGCAGCGAACGAGAGGAGGAAGGTGCCGACGGAAGGGAAGGGAAGGGAATGGAAGAGGGCGAGAGTTCGGGTGGGAGAGAAAAAGTCATGCCCCGATCCGAAGGAACGCCTCCGGCGCTGCCCCACCACGGGCTCGCCCTTTTCACCCTCATCGCCGGGTCGACCTCTCGCTGCGACCGGTCGGAGCCCTGCGACTCGCCCCGGGTCCCTCGCCGAGCGTCCTCCCCTCATCGTCCCAGATCTCCGCTTCTCTCCACGTCGTCGATCCGCGGACCGACGGAGCCGATCCTCTCCGCCGACACACCCACGCGGAGTAAAGTGCAGAGCACATGAACGTCAGTCAGCAGAAACCACGGTTTCTAATATTTAGGGTTTATCGGAACCGCCGAAAATCCGATCCGATGGCTGGGAAATACTCGAAACCTTCGTCCCGTGCAGGCGGGTCGCAGGAACATGTTCTCGAAGCACGAACAGGTGCCTGCTTTATGAGGGACGGTACGGTCGGCGAGTGGGCGACTGGGGCAGCCACGGTGCGTCGCGGCAGCAGGGGCCGGTCCGGTCTGCTGACCGGGCCAGATGGTGCCCCCATGCCCATGCTCTTGAGCTCGCCCGCTCTTGACAAATGGCGTTCCGGTAACTGAGGCCCGAGTTTCCCGCGTACACGGAGAAACTAAAGTATGGTACAGTACTGTATTCGAGTGGCTACGTGAGATGAATGTCCCCGAGGCCAGCACAGAGCATCCCATGCCCTCGTGGCGGCCACGTCAGCCGTGAAGAGCCAGGAGGGAACACCCTTAACGAACTCGTAAATATCCTCGTCGTCCGTTCGGTCAAACGACTTTGTCTGATCTCCCGACGACTGATGGCGTTTTGAGCACGAAGCGCCCTCGGTTGCAGTCCTAACGGCCTGCTGCAGTCGGATCCCGTTGGGAATATTCTTTCTGCAAGGCAGGTCCCAAGAATCGTGTTCTGGTGCTGTACGTGAGAACACTTCCTTCTGAGAATACTCTTCGGACTTGGACGGCCCTTTGGATAAGTCGAGAGAATATCACTAGAACTTCTGGAGCTGGGCGACCCCCAGACGTGGACCACATTATCGTCTCGAGCATTCAAGTCTTGAAGTATTGTGTCACGGCAAGATTTAGTCGTAGAATTTCAGATTTTGTGTCGACTCCACAAGATACGCTTGTTTAAAGTGCCAAGAGTATATATCTGAGCGAGTGAGTATTATGAGAAATATTATTCTATCAAAACCAAAAATATTATTCTTGTTTCATAATACATTTTTCAGACCTGATACGATGCAGTGTTTTAGAATCACAAAACAGTATCCTATTCAAATTTCACCGATCTACATCCTCGGTGCAGACAATGTTCATGTTGCACATAAGTAAATCAATAGTATAATATAACAATATTTTCAAAGTCCTTTCTTTGGTTCCATAGTTATTATACACTTTCGCAGCTTTAGTATGAATTATTTTTCCTTACTTTCGACCATCACAATTCTTCGCCTTTATATTTTAAACAGCGTGCTCACTTCGCTTGTTGCACTATGCCAGAAACTAGTGCTGTACGATTGATTAACAAATGTCTCAATAAATTTAGTTTGTTATGCATCTCCCATACTTAAACAAAAAAACCTCACAGAAAAAATATATCTGAGAATCAATTTGGACAATTTTCATGTTATGCCATACACAAACACTTCATATAGACTAAGGAAATACAAACTAAGAAAACTAAGGAAAAAAGCCAAAATGTTATTTATATAAGAGAGAGGCTAGTTATCTCTCGGTTGAAGTTAATTAGCCCTCACCCTACTAGACCCTAGAAGCTCAACCAATCCATTTCAGATTAAATACGTGACTAATCGTGGACCGACCCGAGACCCGTTCTCCGGTGCCACCTCATGGTTATTCCTTGGTGACTAACGTTGGGACAATGCCGGACTCTCTACCGACCCCGAGACCTTCACCAAAAACCGATAGCGGGAGGTGATCCACGTATGATAGCATGTTGGGAGCTTTGGACATGTAACCAGCGAGCTGCTGGCCCAACTTGGCAATGAATCCCCATGGCCATTGTAAGACAATCAAGGCAAGCGCTCTAAGGTAATCACTAGATGATGACACTAAATCTTGAATCCAACCTAATGCCATGCACATGGGCCCTCCTCCCCGTTCCTGGCAGAAGATCAAAGTCAATCTATGGAAAATTGGGTAAGGTAGAGGAAGGGCAATTCTGAAAAGAATGTATAAACAGGCCCGGCAGACTCCCATGATCAAAACCGGACTGTTTTGATCAATTATCCCTCAGTTTAGGACGATACCGAAGTGATTTAGATGCTTTCGTCTAGGGGTATAGGACATCGTCTTTTCATGTCAAAAACACTAGTTCAAATTCCATAGGGGATACTATTCCTTATCTTCACTAAGGTTATTCTAAAAGCAAAGTGAAAAAAGATTTATGGCGCAAGGGAGGAACACTTTCACCCTTGCCCAAAGAGAACTTGGCCCGAGATTCTAACGTGTGTGATAATTAGCATCAACTAAGGGATAACCAGTCACTCCTTTACATGATAAGTCTAAAAGTTTTTGAAAATAGAAACGTATTGATAAATATGAATTAGAAGGTAAATCAAATATTATTCGTGAAAGTGAAATGATCCTATGGATGTTCATAGAATTTCAGTGAAATAATTGAAACTTCACATAGTGTGAAGGATTTTGCTCGTTCTGAAGCGATACCATTATTTGCTCATTAATGACAATTCACAATGACACCGGGGTATACATCAAGGAATACATCGTTAAGCTTTGAAGTCTCCGTACAAGAACCCTTTACAACGACAATATGTGCAAGAAGAAAGACACACTAACGCGAAGTCTTGTGCCATGATATATAATACAAGCATTGCAGACAACCCATACAAAGACAAAGTTGTCCTCCCATCCTTTCCTTGCTAAATGGACATAAAGTGCCTTAAAATACTCCAAAATTAACTCACTTATGTTGAAAGCGAAGGATTAAAAAAAATTAATTTGGCCGTCACTTATATTAAGCAAGAAATGAACTTGAGCAACAGAAAAACAAAATTCAAATTAGCCTTACGAGCGTGATATCGGATTTGCGAGGACAACACGCAAAGATAAGAGGGGAACATCCGTCGAAACAAAACACAGACATTCGCGATTGGAATTGAAGAGCAGCCGCTGGCATGAATGAGGTCCGACAAAGAGAGTGATATCTCCCAATGCATTGTCAATTAAGCGAACACACCATAAGACCGTGAATGACATCCACAAGTACAAGACCCAATCATAGACAACAATGAATGAACATCCGCGAGGGTCAACCTGACATGACTCACATTAATCGGATGTTCATGTGATTATGTCAGCTTGACCCTCCTCGTGAATTCTTCTCACCTGCAGGAAATTCCGTTGCCGCCATAATGCAATCGTCCAGCTTAGGAAAGCTCTTCGATTCGCTTTATCGACCGCCAACCTTGGCGCCGTCGTTGGCGTCCTCTAAAATGCGGTCCTACGGTGACTCGGCCACGTAGCCGTAGGTTCTGAGAACATTCCGCCAGGTGACTCAGGTCCCTTTCTGACCGGACCTTATGACGGCGGTCTCGAGATTTTAAGGACCCCGCTGTCGCCATTAGTGCGCTGAGATCGTGCTCGACAATGATGTTGCGGAGTTGTTTGTAGAGGGCGGCTAGACGAGGCCTCGAAATCAAATCACCTCTGGTCCTCTGCAGGCACGAGGGTTTTACCCGTGGTTAGCGCATGTCGAGTTAATTAGGTGCAGAAGGGTTGATGGACAAGCTTCGCAATGTGACTTGAGTTGGACTACGTGGGAGATGTCCAGAATGTCTATCCTCTAGCCGAGGTGGGGTTACCAGGAGCAATGGCATTGCCAATGGGGTACGCTTGACGTGCCCTAGAGTACTGTATTATTAACCCTGATCCGATCCATGGACTCCTGCTGCTGATCCATGACCTACTCTATGATCTAGAAAGTGCCATAATAAAAAACATTATAATATTACGAGCTCACGGTTCAAGATTAAAACATTCCACACTAAGCTGGACAGCATCTCAGATTTCTTCTAGGATGCGTATGCACGCTCTTGTTTAATGCAATCTGTCTATTGTAATCCCGCTCACAGTAATCCTCCAGCACCTTCGAGAAGATTCATATTGTCAATGCAGACTTCACATCGGTAAATGCTTTTGTCTCTGTCTCCGGACCGATCTTGTGCTCCACTGAGAAGAAACTAGATAAGTGCTTGCTCTTGATGATGCTGCTTCGACTCCCCGTCCACAATTCGCTGCCAGGAAAGTTTGGCACATGAAAACTCTGGGGTCTTATATTTCATAGATGCTAAAAAGACTAATGCATAGAAACTTCAATCACATTATTTGGTTTATTACATCTCCATAAGCAGTTGACTAGGTAACCGTTTGTTGAATCCAATCATTCTCACAAAGGTTTTCATTCATGTGAAACAAGTGTACCTCACCATTGATGGTACATGGTGGCGATACGTCGAAGCTAGAGGGCATTTCACTTCAATTTGGATATCTGACCTGCAACATGAAATTTCTGTTGACTTCGACACCCGAATCAAGCTCCAACTTATAGCTCAATGTGTTGAAGACCGAGAGGTCTAACTACGTTCTATAATTCGGGATCGAAGGCATGGCTGAACTTCACTCAAATTGTCGAACGTACTTACAGAAGCAATTCTAAGTCAATGATCAAAGACCCCATGACACGAAGACCTCAAGCCCGCAAGTGATTATTGTCTATAAACGTGAAAAAGTTGTTGTGCCGTTACGTATAACGTCCGGTATTGGTTAGCTTTAGTTAACGCAACTATAGTTACTTAAACTAATTATCCAAATACAATATAATAGAATTAAGCCCGGTATTGGTTAGCTTTAGTTAGCGCAACTATAGTTACTTAAACTAATTATCCAAATACAATATAATAGAATTAAGCGTGGCACTCCCTGATACAAATTTTGTATTCTAATAAATCATTTTGATGTTAACCCACATGAGCAAGACATCTGTGGCGAGTCTATAGGATCACCTCCGATACCAATCATCCAGAATTTGGAGTAAATTAATTGATGTGACTCTTGAAAACTCAAACCTCTTGTTTGAGTTTTATTTTACCCGATGGTATCCACTCTACGGCCATCCTGACCACCATCCATCTTATTCTAATAAAAAATTTTATAACCAACAACGAGATCATGAGTAATATCAATTTTCAATCCCCGTTTATTTGCATGTCACTTATAGCATCGGTGCAAATATCGAGCTCCGATCAATTTGCTCACAAGCGACGGGCACCATGAGAAAGTTACGATCACCATCATGAGTCTTAATAACTCTCATGTGGTTTTGCCGAGACTTCATTTTCCTACTCGAAATGATTCCAGATTGTATTGGAACATCACTGACGGTGGACTTCAAGGTAAAATGAAACCTGTTGGTTCCATCAAGTGTTTTAAGTTTCCCCGAGGTCCCATCAAGTAATTTCCTCAGAATTTCAAGATCACAAGTCGCGGCCACCACCTTCAAGTTTGTTTGTCGCCGACTGTGTACATCTTGGCTTTTCGGTCGTTTTTCTTTGGGTCACTTGACTCTATGAGTGAGTTGCTTTGCTAGCATTATACAGAATGTAACCTCCCAACAGTGACATATATTGGTGCTAGTGTTCTACATCACTACTAAGGATATGTAATTCACCAAATTGAGATGCACAATATTCTTATAGGAAATTTTATATATTTTAGAAAAAACATTTAAATGCATTGTTTAATTGCACGATCTTCTTTATTTCCTAATATGTATTGTTCATGAAAATTAATGTTAATATTACGTTTGAATACGGATACATGCACAAAAATTTGAATGAAACAATTCACGATATTATGTGTATCAAGATATTTGATTTATTCTTACAAAGAGTGAACATTTGCAATTTAAAATTTTTGGCATTAAATTTTTTTTGTGTCACTTTAACATTTTTCAAGATAGGAATTATAACTCTAAAATTACACTTGAAACTGTAATTATTAAAAAAGTATGATGTCAATAGTGACATCATACATTCAATGACGTGCTGTTATTATTGTTATTACTAGTTGTAAATTATTGGTTTTCAAAATAAATAACTAACACTTGGAATTTTCATTATTTGATAATATAATGTCACTATTGACATTTAGTGACTATTATGGGTCACTTTTACTAGTTACAAATTTATTGTTTGTCAAACGTATGTTACTATTAAAAGGTTATACTATGTAAGTCTTTTTCTTTGGCACAAATGTTCGAAACAGAAACGGGCCAGAGCACAAAGGAACACGGTTTCAGGTAAACTCATGCTTCGCGTCCAAAACTCAGGATTACATGACCGACAGCATTCTTGTGGTGGTTGTTGTGCCCAGAGGTCGCTATGTGCGTCTTGTGCAGGCCGTACATATTGGCATTTTCTCCTAAATTCTGGCATTTTGGTATTAACACTGTAATTTCACAATCTTTCATCTTTGGCCATAATTTTCTGGAGTGTTTTGGACTGCTTCGCATGCATGAAACTCATGAGGGAAAATTCAATTTCAACTGATTTTGTACTTAAAAACGTTGAATGAATTTAGAAAATATGAAGCGTATCTGAGTTCTTGTAATCTAGCCAAGAAGAAAATCACAATGATAGAAAAAAACATATTATAAAAATGATATGAAGATAATAAAGTGATGGATTATATTTCTATCTATTCACTGTTGATATTTTTTTACTTCTTATCTTTCTTTTTCCTCAATTTGAGAGTTGATTCGATTAAGAATTTTGTCCCCTATTCGCGAATTACCCCAACTTGAGAATTGATTCAATTGAGAATTTTGTCACCTATTCGCAACTTACCGTAAACTTAGGAAAAGATTGACATTAGTTATCTATAATTCGCAGCATCACACATTCCTGCCGTAACTCCCTCACCAATTCGCAGCTGCCCAGCAAATTCCAGGGCTGTCTCCGTACCGTAACTTCATACTCCCGCATTCCATTCCGTGCTATGGACTTCTGGCCAGATTAATCTTGGTAGATTAATTGGCAGAATGTTGGCGTGTAAAAATAGAACGTCAGAGTTTAGGACTCTTGCTCTTGAGGTTTGCTTTGCCCAAGCAGTAGAGGCATGGAGTAGAGCTGGAGCAAAGGAACATTCCACATGCGGATGCAGGGTTGATCAGTATCTGCCGTTCACGTCGTTGGCTCTTGTAACAAAACTTCGCTTCCTTCAGCTGTTAGAAGGTGCCTCCTTATTGGTCCATCATTTCTCACTTCCTTCCTAATCCCGAGAGCAAAGTCTTCAAAGTATTCCATCAATCTCTGTACTTGATCCTTCAGACGCGTTCACTTTCCTCGTACGTTACCTATGTGGTTAATCTGCCCTCGTCTCGCGTTCTTTCGGTAAGAAGGTCATCTCTACACATTGAGAACCTATCAAGATGATCGTTTCTATACACTTCTGTCATTTCTACAATTTCCCTTCTTACCGTGTTCTCCTTTTACATTCAGGTCTTTAAACCTGTCAATTAGTTGAAAGGCAGGTTTCACCGCTCAGCAGTTTCGTTGCGCTTCGATAGGTTGTTTATTGTCAATTGCTCTTTCCGAAGTCAATGTTCAGAGCTACTAGCTGACTCAACGTTCAATAAGCGAGTGGCCTTCAATGTTATACAAACTGATGAAAGAAATGTCGGAAGTAGTAGTCTATGCCCTCAGAAATTGCCAATTTTCCACATAGCAGTAACAGCCCGGCGATGCTCGGCTCGGCTCGTGCTTCATCACCCAAAATCGTGACAGGTCAAAACAAAGCAGTAAGGTTCAATCGTACTTGACTGTGTAACCAAATCTGCTCCGCTTGACAAACCCCGAAAAGAGTTCTGCACAAACAGGACCATTGAGCACCCCCAGGTAGCACCTTGGATTCAGTGTGGTTAAGACGGATTCATCATCGGGGTCAATAAACATCAGTATCAAGAAACATACAGGAGAGAACTGACTTCGGTATAAAATAGGGTTGCTAAGACCTTCCGCTCTCTGCGTCTAAAGAAAACCGCCAGCAGATTCAGGTCGTAAGTGACAGCAGAAACACTACAGAGCATCAGAAGAACGCTCGGAAGTGTGAATTGCTCCCTCTCACGACCTTTGACGCGGAATCCTGGAAGATGCAAGACGTACACGACTAGAAACCTGGGCGACCAATCCACAGAAAACTGCGGCAACAAATATCGGGAAGCAGGTGTCTACCACTCGAATCTATGTCCAGCTCAAAGATTGCTACCGTGACATCGGGCAGATCAGACTCCAAGCTCACCGACAGGCACGATAGCTGACATTGACCGCCATAGAAAGCTTGCGCAAGACTCTCAACACGATACTCGCGGTGAGGTTTCAGTCGCAAGCTGAGATCAACAACGCAAGGGTCCTGTGGCGTACAAGGCTTTACAAGAGCACTTCTTAAGGAGGCTGGCAAGGACCACCTTCAGTTCCCGAACCCTAAATCGGATGGAAGAGACTCGCTGGACAGATGCTGTTCCCATCTGACAGTTACCTACCTCTTCAAATCATGCAACACAGTTCGTTCGCGGCTTATTTTAAATCAAGTCCTCTCTGATGTTCCCGGTTCATGTTCGCTTCGGGTGAGTCCACAATAATTTTGCAATATTCAAATGAAAAACCAAAATTAGGCTCTTTTTTTTCCCCTTCAATGGTATTCATGACTGATTTTTTGTAAATCCGCATGTATATGTATTCTTCATATATAATACTCATTTCTCTTTAAACTTTTGTTTCATCCTTTTCGCAAGATTTTATTGGCATAAGTTATTCTCTCTGATCAGATTTATTAAAAAAGTTGCGTCAAATGTGCGCTGCAGGGAGAACACAGTCTTGTTCAACAAGTACCTGAGCTTCGTGCACAACATAGAGCTGATCGAACTGTCCGACACAGGATTAATTGATAAGTATGGACGCTCGAGGACTGGAACTCATACCAGATAACTAGAGACAATGGATCATATTGAGTAGCCGACATTTGATGAACGAATTAGCGCTCTCAAACTACGAGAAAGTTGACAAGAGTGAACTGCATGGAGTCAAGTTTACTACGACTAGATTTGACTATGCCTGTTTGCGCTTCCTCGTGCCTCAGACCGCCATCAAAATCATATCTTAACCCTCATCTCTTACCATTGCAACGCCAAAGAAAAGTAATGATCGGAACTGCTTAATAGGATTTGATTTATTCTGACCCCTTGCTATAGAAGAGATCATATGTTCCTGGCATTCATCCGAGCTTGGAAGTGGATCGGAAACCCGCTGATGATAATGAAATACGAGGGGAGCATGCGAACCAGAAATCTGCCATCTGAACTAGATAATATTTGATGCCCCGGTCCAGTTGGGAACCATGAAAGAGTAATCTTTCTACGATTGAGTTTGCGAAGTAAGTCTTTTTCCACAGGATTATTACTCCATTCTCAGAGCTCGAAGGTCTGGCTAATTTTTTCATAATTTTTGGACAATGCTTACAATGCATTTGTTCTCACCATCCAACCTCATGACTTAAACGAGTTACGTACTCCATTTCAAATGCCGTGACAAAGAAAAAATCTCGCAGTGCAGTCTATTATAAACGTGTTTTTTTCCATGGTCAAACAATGTGTGAGAGTAACGGCCGGAACCAATCACATTCACAATTCTAATTTATACATAAAATTTAGATTTGTAATCCTGCATGGATAGGATCACACACTTGTTAGGCTGACCACATAGTGATGAATAAAATGCATAATAGGTTTATTAAAACTAACTCTGTTATCACGGCGGGTCTCAATCCAAGAGATTTGAACTTAGCTTTCCCTTAACACAAGGGGCCCAACCTTTAAAATGAAGAGCCTCGGTAGATATGTAGAAACTCCAACCCATGGACTTGACGGTGAATAGGGCTAGAATCATTTATGAAGTTGTCACTAGAATTCTCAAAACCGCGAATCGAGGAGTTGGGGTGTGATCTGCACATAGTCATTGTGCAGATCAAGTCTAGTTCTCTCTTCGTACTGTCAAAAAATTGGATAATGCTGATTAACCTCTCTCTTGTAGTAGAACTGCCTAGTATACGAACTGTGAAATCAATTGAATGGTTGCTAGAAGTATGCAGGGGTAAAATTGTTGGAAGTAACTGTACCTTAAAGTTCATGACATGGGATTCAACACGTCATCTTATGTTAGCCTACTAGCACATGCTTATGTCAATCTCTTACATTTTTTTGAGAGCGGTTGACTAATCAAGTGCATAGATGACTACTTGTTAATGGCAAAGTCAAAGCAACTATGCTATGACCTACGGTGATCCATGCACCGTGAGTATGAAACGTATATAAACCTTTACACATTGATAATAAACATTTTGTCATTCACAGTGCCCATTGCTTCACTTGCTCTTTGATTCTTTTATGGTATAAAAGCAAGAAATGAATACACTAGTGAAGAGAAAATAGTGATATATGTACTTGAGCAAAATAGCTGCAGCATAGAGCAACAAGAAGCAAAATAGAGTAGCAAGAAGCAAATCTACGTATTTTGTAGCATTTACTTACGATTCTTCAAGAATGTCATTTGTTTATTTTATGAAGTCAAAGAGCAAAACCTACATCAAATTTTTAATCTTCAAAGCAACAATGGAGAGACAAACATTCAAGAAGATCAAGACTTTAAATCCAACAAAGTAGGCGAGTATATATTGAAGAAGTTTGAAACATATTTGCAAATTGAAGTCATTACAAAATATCTTACACAAACCCAAACAACGCAGAAGAATGGATTTGCAAAGCCACGCAACATAACAATAATCAAGAAGTTTCGAGCAATGACAATCAATTCTCTGCTCCCCATTTTGTGTGAAGTGAAGTGAAGTGAGTAATATAATAATTCTTGAGCTTAACATCGTTCCAACAAAAACAAATCATGAAAAGAAATCTTTCAAAAAATTCCATGGTAAGAAATCTAATGTGATTCATGTTAGAATATTTGGAAACATAGCTCATGTTTATATTGCAAAGGAAGATGATAGTACATCAATATATTGCAGGTTGATTGGCTATGGTAGTGAGTCAATAGCGTATACAGTATATTGTCTAAAACGTAGAATAGTTATTATCACAAGCGATGTTATCTATGAGTATAGAGTTGGTTATTTTGAAACGAGGAATTTTGAAAAAAACATGTTTTTGGCATTTAATAGGATTGATGTTGAACAAGTTGAAGTTGAGGAAATAATACCAAGCGCTAGTTAATCTAGTCAATAAATTGAAGTTGAAAAATATGATATCAAGTGCAAATTCAATATCACTTTCATTTATAGATGTGAAAGAGTTTCAAAACTCAAACAGCAATAATAGCAAGTTTGTTGATGAAGAGAGCTTACAATCTAAAGCAATAAATCATGAAGCTAAATTATTTCTAACTTTAAGTGTTTATAAACGACGACAAAGAAATCTTGTGACATCCGATGAGAGAAAGGGTTTCAAATTCTAGATGCAAAGATTATTTATTGACGTTTATATTACATGAAGATCCAGTCACATGTCCACAGGCAAAGTACATGCAGGTTGGAGATATATGCAAGTTTGAGAGCTACAATGAAGCAAGAGATTGAATCAATTAACAAGAACTAAACATATGGAAGATAGTTGATACAGTGAATCTTTGAATTATTCCACTTACAACAAAATGAGTTTATAAAAAAACAAAATTGGAGCATCAGAAAAAATATTTTATAAACTCATTTTGTTGTAATTGGAATGATTCAAAGAGTCAATTGGAGATATATGCAGTTGGAGAGATGTAAACCCAAATTACAAACTCAAGGTAGTTGCTAAAGGAAACAAACAATTAGAGTGCATAGAACTTTTTAATATCTTTGTTCCTCATATAAAGTGACCCACGATACAAATAATATTTTTTTAGCTGGTAACAAAAATTGGAAAATTTGTCAGCTTGATGTTAAAAAAATATTCTTAAATGATAAGTTGGATGTAGACATGCCAAATGGCTTTGAGTGATCTCAAGACGATTGAGTGTGTAAATTTTGAAAGCTTTCTATGGGCTTTGATAAACACCAAGGCCATGGTATGAGAAAATCAAAATCTATTCAACACATCATGAAGTTAAGAAAAGCATAGGGTTTAGTAAAGGGAGCCGCTAACCAACACTCACCTTTGGCTAACCACCACTCACCTGTGAGACCCCAAAAAAGATGTGGAAGGTGCCGTCAATCTGGTCACAATGCTCGACATTGCCAGCAACTTCCCGCATCTCCCGATATTGAAGAAGATAGATAGACAATAGCTCAAAAAATATTTGATACAAAAATGGTTTTCTGGCGGCGGCAAATTAATTTTTTCGTGATAATATTAAATGATTCCAGCCAATCACAGGCCTCGAAAACGAGCCTAGGGGTTCTATATAGACAGGTGAGTGGTGGTTAGCCAAAGGTGAGTGCTGGTTAGCGGCTCCTTTAGTAAAATATACTAATGAATCATTCATGACAAGTATGCGATTGTGTTACTCTATATGTGTTACTCTATATATGTTGTTGCTTGTTGGAGATAATCAAGACAAATACAACATGATTGAAAGTATTTTTACAAGTGACAGTTAATATGTAAATATTAGGTATTGCAAAGCTATATTTAGAAAAAATATTGAAATAAACCTAGTAGTACTGTATTTGCATCGACAAAGTTTTATATAAAAAGTTCTAACAAAATTTAATTTGGGAACATGTTAGTCGGTTTGTCTTCCAATGAATCCTGGATTGCACTTACAATGTCATACTGTCATTGGCAGTTGATGCTACATTATATACTTCATTGGTTATATAGCTTTTCTTCATTGCAACGATTTCAATACCCAATTATAGCTTTGAGAGCACCATTTACAACACAATGAAGTAGAATCAAGAGACACCAAGCGCTCTACTACGGTCAAATCTTATTCTAAAGAACAAAAAAACTCAATGGTGAGCTCTGAATCACATCGGCATCACACCATTGTGAAATGAAAATCGTTCAAAACCTTAAGGAATGCGTTGGAAATAACACTCTCTTAAAGATCATGACGTGGAAGTCAAGACACCTGTTCAAGTCTTTAAGGAATACGTTGGAAGTTACACTTTCTTGAAGATCACTTGGGATTTAACACACCATCTTACGTGAGGTTACTATCACTTGCTTATGTGAAACTCTTAGAATTTTAGTAGGTAGCGGTTATTTAACCAAGTGTTACGATGACTGTGCGTTAATTGCAAAGTCAAACTAACTATGAAGTGAACTACGATGATCCATGCACTGCGAATATGGAATGTATGTAAACTTGTAAAGAGTGATAATAAACATCTTGTCATTCACAATGAACATTGATTTCCTGCTATTTGATTCTTTCAAAAACTACTCATTTTCTCTATTTTCAACACTTGAATGTTCTCTAAGTGATTACTAATTGCAAGGTTAAACTGTACACCCAGGGTTAAATAACATTTACCTCGCGATATTTTTCATGCTCTCCTTTCTTATCAGTTTAGTTAGAGATGGAACAATACTATTATCATGGAAGCAATTAATAATTTTAATTTGAGTCATTTTTCGCTTGGTTCTTTCACGGAGTGATCGTTATGAGCTAAAAGGCTTGACTTTTGTCTAATCAAAGAAGAAAGAGATCAGCGCTTGAAGCATTCGAATTGCAAACCTCCTCGGCGCACAATAATTTAAGTCGACTTGCACAAACTATGTACTCTAAAGTCTCGTACATTACGTACTCCAAAACTGTGAACGTGAAAAGTATTGCACACCTTATGGTTCTTACGACATAGTTCTGCTCTTGTTCGACGAAATTCGAGGACGTTTACAAACTCCTTGGACGCAATTTTCAACATTTTTTTATGACTTTGCTTTCTCAATGTGTTTGATTTCGTCAAGTTCTTATTTTCCGTGTTTGCACCAATTCAAAATGCCCGCCGTGATCTGATCAATTTTGCTAGAAAGTAATCTGGATCGACGAAATTTTGAATGATGATATCAACATGACATTGTGGACAGACTCCTGAAACTTGACAAAGTCGGAGAGACGCCAGTCCTCGCGACGTTTTCATTCGAATATGACGGACCCATTTCTGAAATACGTTGTTCTTAGTAAGTCAATCCATCTGTTGTGCTGACTGCGTTCGTCACAAATCGGGCGTAGGATGTTTCTAAAGAACATGTTTCGTATTTCGAGAAAGATGTGGAATTTTGAGAATCTGTCCCAGGTTCCAAAATTGTGCTGAGTACTCAATTTCTTGAGCTGAGTATTCTTCTGGAGTCGAGATTATCCAGCACAGTAACATTGGTGCGCGGGCTTTGAACAGGTATGCTTGACAGGAAAAATCTGATCAGGAATCCTCCTCGTATTTTCTAAGTCACAGAAGAATTGGATTGGAAGTCGGTGTAAAACAGTCTCATCGAAAGATGGATGTAGCTGTAACGATAACGGGAACTTGTTCTACGCACTACAGCACATCGTGCTGGTATGACGAAGGGTCAAGGCTCGGGGATTGCGCACTCGAGACATCCACTGTACGATCTAGTGAATGCAGGAAAAGTCCAGCATGGAAGAATGTTAACACGCCGTCAACTACTGTCACCAGGTGAATAAACTCTTCTCTTTCGTACAGACAGTGCGTTTTGCTAACAGTGGGAGTTATATTACTGCTGAGATTCTTACTTGGAGTTGCTTGATTTCGTTCTCAATTGTTCTATCCCACCTGGTAAGTGGTTGCTTACACTCGCGCGATCCTGTGAGCGATCAAGGCCCAGAAAAGTAACGTCTGATTGGAATCTGAACTGCATGGGAAGTGATTGTTACGATTTCTAATTGATAAGGAGTGACATCAACCAATGCCTGCAGGCAATCTACAACTTTAATTGTGAATGAGGAGCAGAATTTTATGTTCTAGTTCAGTACTGCCAGGTCTTTCTTCACAACTCATACATTTCGAACCACAAGTAGTTTGCAGCAAATCACTACGAACTAGCAGATGACGAAGAGGTGCGAATACACTTGTGGAGAAAAGTTTTAAATTTAAGAGAAACCTATTCAGTACAGAGCAACAGATATGAATCCTGCTCTGCATAACTCTGCAACCTTGATTCTGTATATCGAAGATTTAAATTCGGTGAGTGATACACTAAATCACAGACACCGTATCGTCTTCTTCACAGCCAGCAACCAGACTGAGCATCAAATAGACATGTAGCTGTTCGATCCCGGGTACACTTCTGACCCCACGGTATGTGTCAGGTTGGTGACAGCTATTTTGGTATTCGCAGATGGCCTGATTGGCTGGAACAGTGGTAGATGATGTGTTCGTATATATGTACACGTCGGGGTTGGAGAACAGTCGATCATCCTCAACGACCTGGCATTGACGTCAACCCTGGAAGTCCCGATTCTTGGCTCTTCATCGACCTTCTCAAGCTCGCTCGCCACGAATGCGCCTGGCAAGCTGGATGTCTTTGGGCATGATGGTCACGCGCTTCGCGTGGATCGCACACAAGTTAGTGTCCTCGAACAGCCCAACCAAATAAGCCTCGGCGGCTTCTTGCAGAGCCAAAACCGCACTGCTCTGGAAACGCAAATCCGTTTTAAAATCCTGCGCAATCTCCCTCACAAGCCTTTGGAAGGGCAGCTTCCGGATCAACAGCTCAGTGGACTTCTGGTACTTCCTAATCTCCCGAAGCGCGACAGTCCCGGGCCTGTATCGGTGGGGCTTCTTCACTCCTCCGGTTGCAGGGGCGGACTTGCGCGCGGCCTTGGTCGCCAATTGCTTGCGTGGGGCCTTCCCTCCGGTCGACTTCCGAGCAGTCTGCTTCGTGCGAGCCATGGTGCCTAATACGCGGGATCACGAGAAGCAAAGGAAATTCTGGAGGCGGAAGTCGGGCAGAATGCGACAGAGCTCAGAGACCGGTGCTCACAATTTGAAAGACTCGAGCTTTATGTGATCCTGAACTCGAATTTCGATGGCGTTCAAAAAAGGCGCGGGAGCGGGCCTCCGACCAGGGCTCGATTGGTGTGACAGCTTCAGATTTCGATCGTTAGATCTTTTAGATCGACGGTGAGTGGTGTCACTCTCTCCTGCTTTGAGATTGGCTGGCGCCGAGTTGTGGTGGATCGCTCCCCCGTTTGGACACGTGGCAGCATTATTCCACTACGAGGTTGACGGACCCAGCTACGCAACACCCTCGTGTAGGCTTGGCCACGGTCCGGACCGCCGGTTAACTGGTCCGGGGAATTTTTTCCTCTGGCAGCAAAATCAGACTAGCAAGGTACTCAATTCGTGATTCAGTGCAAGTAAATTTTTTCAATTGGTACAACTCAGCTAGAGTCTCTGAACGTCCAACCGTGGGTTCATTTGAGTCGCGTCCCACCTCTTTCCCTCTGCCATCGAGAATTTTTGGGTTTGAAAGCCCCTCCCCATCGATCACGTAGGGGTCCGGACCGATGGTTAATCGGTTAACCGTTAACGATAAATCCTGGACCGGTTAACCGGTCTACAAATTTTCCGGACCGGTTAACTGTTAACTGGACCGTGGCCAAGCCAACCGTCGTGGTTTGCAATGTGGTATAGTACAGCAGAACAGTAGGTGGGTGTGGTAGACCGCATTGACTTTATCATGTTCTTCCATGTACTTTTCAAGTACTCTAGTGAAGGAGTCTTCTTGTTTTGGTACTCTACTTAGGCAAGTTAGGTATTGTTCTTGAAATCGTGCGTACGTAGGAATCTTCAGAACTAGTACTCTCTTGCTTTACAAAACAGTGGAGTACCAAGTACTAAAACAAAGTCTTGTTTTAAATGCTCGATAACTTGTTGCTGAGTTGGCGTCTACGTGAAGGTTAATAAATGCAATCCAAGGGCTATATTCAAAGAGCAACTTTTGAGATATTCTAGCGATTTGGATGGAGTGCCATGTGACTCTTATTCAACTCTAGTTGTTTTTCTCTACGACGTGGAGGAGAGTATCGTACTATGGTATGCTAAATTTTGCTCGAACATATGGACGGAGTACTCTTGGCGTAGGTAGAAGGAGTGAAATTTCTACTTGAGAGAATTGATGCATGTGGAAAAAATTTGTTGTAAATATTTCAATAGTGTTGACAAATAAAGAAGTACTTCCGTACGTAGAAGGTGAAGTAGTATCGAAAGCAGTCGTCAAGCGTTCAGCAATTAGATTGTTATTTTGAGTAAGACACCATGGAGAATTTTTTGTCTTGGAGATCAATGCCTCAAAATGATCGGATGGATAGATCGAGTAATTTGGGTTAAATTGATAGATTACTTGATTCCCAGCCCAAAGATTTAGACTCTGAAATCCAATTTTTGAAGCTTATTGTATGGGCACTCTTCACAGCAATCTTGTCCCGTGGCAAGGAGTGTAGCGTTCAATTTCTAGTGGAGTCAGCCACTGCTAACGGTTAGGTATCCTCCTGCCTTGGAACCGAGAGTTACGTCAAATCTTACTTTCCCCGCAAAATCTTTATTTCAGGAACTACACTGCGAGAATGTACAAAAATCAACCTTACGTGACATGAAAGTTCTGAACAGTGGAAAAGTTTTAGAGAAAGACAACCAATTGGAGTAGCAAGCACTGCTAAGACTTTCGAAAAGTGATACAAAAATACGGAAGGTTCACAAAGAAGCAAAATCCTCCCAAAACGATAAAAGGCAGTAAGATGAAGGCGAATCAGGTGGTGATTTTGGACGAGGATGACAATGACGATCTTAACAGCAAGGTTCTATGGACCGACGAACAAACGAGAACTTTGATTTTATTGAAACAGTAGATGGATTCGGGGTTTAAAGCAGACTCTGGCAAGCAAGGTAATTTTTTACATTCCTTTATTAAGATAATGTCTAATCTGCAATCTCATATGTGATGTGATGAAGTTGAAGACAAACGAATTTGATGGGTTGTCTTTTTGGGGCGAGTTATAGTTTATGTACAGATTCTTCATTCTATGTAGTTTCCAGAATTTTGGCTCAGTTTCTTCCAATACGATTGATTGTATTTAGTTTTCAGAGATAGAATTTGTAGCTTTTGTGGTTTGTTTACAAGATCTCAGTTTATTGAACTAAGTTGGTCGGATGGTGAGACCAACCTTTGTATTTGTTGTCATGGTCAAGAGTGAATACTTGGATCAAGCTGTAGAAAAAAATGGTGGTCAGTTGTCGCAATTTCTTCAAGACTTGAGAAGCTTGTAAGAAGAAGTATTTAGCTGAGTTTAGCAAGTACAAGAAAGACAAGTTGCACAATGTTGTAAGCGCTAATGACCGGAATATAACATGTAAGTTCTATGATAAGCTCGACCTGCATTATGGAAATTCTATCCATGTGAAGAAGGCTATTCATGCAGATGTATCCGGTAGTGATAATCCGCGTCCAGTTGAAGATGATTCGTTTTTTGACAAGTCTCTCGAGAGGACTTACAATCCAGAAAATGTGGAGTACTCTAGTTCAAAAGTAACAAGTGGTGTCGAAGGACCACTTTTGAAACCTCGACCAAAGGATAAAACGACTGTGAAACAAGGTCAAGAGAGTATTCTCTATCCTTGAAAATTTAGTTGATGCAGTTGCAGACATAGGAAACAAGATAGAGAAGAATGTATCTCGATTAGATTCTTGGGACATGCCATCTTTGATATCTCAACTTATCGGCGCAGTGCAGGGAAAAAATAGCTTTTCTGGCAATTGACATACTATTTTCACATGTAATGAATTTGTTTTGAATAGTGAATTTGAAGTAGTACAGTAGTCTTATGTACTTAGTGAAAGCTAGTGTTTTGTGGAGTTTTAATTGAAGTAAAGTTTTGAGTATGAGTTTAAGAAAGCTGCAGTGCCAGATGACTTCGTATTTATTGACAAATGACGGAACACCAAAGTACCTCCTTCATTCTCTTAACTAACTTATGAGCAAACACGAATTTCACTTCTCGGTATCTGATTTGCTCTCAATTCATTCAATCTACGTTGGCGTCTTTGTTTGATGTTCTTGTGATACGCATAGACAGTCTGACACTATGAGAATTTCTGATAAGGATGCTACCATTTTCAATATCTCATTATATATCTTTCTTGACTAGGAAGCAAACCATAAAACAATGGCTCTTCCTAGGACGCCTTTCATGACATTGTGGAATCTTGTTTGTTCTAGATGACTTCAGTTACCGAGGAGATTATTGACCTTCAATTGTATGTAAGTATCAGTACTCAGTATTCTAGCAATATTTTGGTCGTAAGAACCTATAAATATTAACCAGGCAGGGGAAGTCAACCAAGTAGATTCAATAATGTGGAAGTACAGAAGTCCCGTGTTCAAACTAAAATTTTGGGGGACTTGTAACTAGTAGTTACAAATCAAAGGTCTGAGAATGAACTCGAAGTGAAGCAGGGAAGTTAATAGTGACGGTGAGCTTCACTGCAATCATGAAGCTTCATGACTGCAGTTGGTGGTCTTTAGGAACTACATTTTCCACTTAATCTATTTCCATCTACACTGAAATTCACCTCATGTTTCAAATTAACCGACTCCACACTCCATGATATACACTTATTTTCAAATGATTTGGGGCTTTTACACGTTGACTGCAGTTGATCCTGAATGATTGGATCTGAAGTTGACTGCTATAAATAAACTGCAAATTGTTTGAGAAAGCATCACTACACAGCTGAAAATTCAAGATAACGAAACTGAATCCAACATGCAGCCACATCGTGATTCATGGAATTTGAATCATGGTGCTCATCTCTGTTGCTTAATCATACGTCCACAATATTTCCACTTTACTGCACCAATCGGCTTTGTCTCGTATTAACAATGAAACCTTACACAAAAGATAAATTTCAATCATTGATCCAGGTTCGCTGTCATCCAATTCAACTAGGCCACTTTCATTTGATCATAGCTGACCTTCGTCACTTAGAAGAAAAAAAATAATTTGAACTTATTCAAAAAATCACTAAAAAGTTGTTAAGCATTCGAAACTCTTCAAGACGGAAAAACAGTGAAAGAGGGTGGACTGCGGCAGTATCAAACAGGTCTTTTGAAGTCACAGGTTTGGATCCACGTGCTTTCAAATGTGAGTCACAGTCTAAACATTGCCCTCTCGTTTTCATATGGATCAATGATGAGTCTTGTTTCCTAGGGAAAGTTCTCATATCATCGTCATACAATACCAATAGCCTGCATTTTCAAAACACATAAACTCCTGCTATTAAAGAGTCAAACTTCCTCACACACCACTCTATTTTCATTTTTAGTGTCATGTATTATCTGATTCCCATTAGGTCACACACATGCTAAATGGAAATGGGTATCAGAGTTCATCGTCCTGCTTCAAACCATCTGCAAATCCAAGTCTTTTGCAGTGCCGGGCTGCTCATATTCCACAACAACTTTCAGTAAGAATGTAAAGCGTGCATTCATTCTTGGTGTCTCACACGATCTAATCAGATCATACGTACTTGCTTCTGTGCATCCACCTGCAGTGTTTGCACCGAACGCAACATCGTAATAGTAGAATACGTTTTAAGCAGATGGAGCTTAGTCAAACAGTCGGTGCTCTAAGTATCATTGTATGTACCCGACAGGTAAATGCTCACAAAGAACAAGGACTTAATTCAAAAATGACAATGGGTATTATTCTTAGCCAGAAAAACTTGGACAAATTGTGATACATGGTATTCTCCTAACAAACATTATCGTCTAAATCCCAATAAATATCATGTACTCCTATGCTTTGCATGACATGCTCTGTAAATAAAACATTAGCTAACACGTCTTGCGTATTTATACCTTCTTTTAACAAATGCATATCTGGCTCCTCTTTCATACTAACATTAGGAAAATTCTTGATCTCCTCATCACCATTTTGTACTGAATATGCATTTCGGTTACCATCTTTA